CTCAAAGTTAACTCTTCTTCTGATAAATATATTCATGAAAGATAAAGAAGAGAAAGAAATGAAGTATTGATAATTCTCATATCTCTGAGTTTATAATATAATTACAATGAGAAGATATCAGTGAGATGTCTACTTAACTCTGAGATAAATATTAACTTCATATTCTACTTCTTTTCTTTGATAAAGAATTGAAAGAAGATAGATCTGTCAGATTATATGAAATTTATTAATGAAATGAAATATCACTATTTTAATATAATTCAAGTGAAGTATATAATCATAGACTCAGAAAGAATCTTTAAGAAGAGCAGTCTGCTTCTTTATACAGTTAGTATTATAGATGAGAACATCATTCTAGATCTTCTATAATTGAGAGAAAATAATTCTCTCATTGACTGAGTTATTCAGGTGTGATGATATTATCTTACTAATAAAGAGACAGTGATAGAGAAATCTGAAGAGTTTCATTGAAAGAATCTTGAGAAAAAGATAGAGTTGATATACTGTGTAGTAGATAACTGAGACTTGAGAATAGATGAAGAAGTCATCACTCTCACTGCAAGATTAGTAGCAGTATTTATTATTAAAGACAGATATATATAATATCTCTTTATAGATTATAAGAATGTCTTTTTGAAAAGAAAAGCAGTGAAGTTTCCTGATATCAAGATATAATATAAGATTTGTCTTGAAGACAGTGTAACAGCACTGTATGAGCCTCTTTATCACTTATCTGTAAAGAAATTGAATATTCTGTGTAAATATCTTGAGAAAGCACAATCAAAGAATTAAATATATTTATCAAAGAGTTCAGCAGAGACATCTATACTCTTTATACTCAAGAAGAATAATAGACTATATCTATGCATAGACTACAGAGGTCTTAATAAGATGACAGTTAAGAATCACTATTCATTACTGTTAATTAATAAGATGATTGATCCATTATCTGAAGCAAAGATGTTCTCAAAGATTGATATACAGAATGTCTATTATAGAATCAGAGTTAATGAAGATAATATTTAAAAAACAGCTTTTTATACTAAGTACAGTAATTTTAAATATCTTGTTTTATCTTTTAATCTTTATAATACTTCAGTCATCTTTCAGATCTATATAAATGAGACACTGTAGAGTCTTGTTAACATCTTCTGTATAGTATACTTGAATGACATTCTAATCTTCTTGAAAATGAAGAAAGAACATAATACTCATATTTAAGAAGTGTTGAATCACTTGAGACAGTATCAACTCTATACAAACACTGAAAAATACTTATTCTATATGCAGAAGATTGATTTCTTAGATTATATTATTAAGATAAATGACATTTCAATGAACAGAAGCTGAGTCTCTGTTATCAAGAACTGGCTGATGCTGCAGATATATTATGAGATGCAGATGTTTCTAAAATTTATGAACTTCTACAGATGATTCATCTATGCATATTCACAGATTACTGTCTCTCTTACAGATCTGTTAAAGAGAAGTGTCAAAGATAGAAAAATGAAACTGTTTATTCTCACTCAAAACACTGTGCAGGCATTTGTAGAATTGAAATAAGCTTTTACAGATATTACAATAGTGAATCACTTGAATCTTGACTTATTCAGTCAGTGTGAGACTGATGCATCTGAGACTAAGATCTGTGAAATCTTTTCACAGTTAATACTGAAGATCTTTCAACATTGAAAGAATCAGAGAATAATCACTTCTGAGAATACAGATAATGAAATGTCTATAAGAGAAGACTTTTTCACAGAATCTATAAGATATTATAAATGAAGATCAGTGATCTTCTTCTTCAAGAAGTTATCACTTATGTAGAGAAGGTATGATACTCATGATTAAGAGATGTTAATAATTATTGAATTCTTTAAGATCTGATAATATTATCTTCAGAGTAATAAGTACTCAGTGTAAGTTCTCACTGATCATGTAAATCTGCATTACTTCTTGATAACAAAGAACTTGACAGAATATCAAGCCAGATGAGTGAAGCTGCTTTTGAAGTATAATTTCTATATTTAATATTATTCAGATCAGCTTAACTCTGCTGATATACTGTGTAAACAGTCTGATTATAATATTATTAATACAGAGAAGAATTTTATAAAAGAATCTCTATTATCACTGCAGAAGAAGCTAGCTGCAGAGGATTAAGATTCTCTGAAGCTCAGAAACAGCACTGATAAGACAGCTGTACAACTCAGTATAGAAGGTGAAAGAAAACTCAGATTCTTGTAGAGAACTGATACTGAAGATTATGAGCTTCTCATATCATATCTTACTATCATTGAATTGATAAAGAATGAAACAGTCTACAATCTTTCAATCTGACTACTTTTGAAATTTATTGATAAGTTATAGAAGAGGAATATCTCTACTACAGCTTGAATTCAGAAGTTGAAGAAGAAAGAATCTGATTTGAACTTAAAGAAGATAGATTCTGAGCAGAACAGTGCTGTTAAGAAATCAAGTTGCTGATAACTAGAAGAACATGAACTTCTACTGCTGAATGATTCAGTCTTCATCTCTTATAGTAGAGCAGTGCATCAGAAGTTATTGAGAATTTATCATAATAATTCTCATACAGAGCACTTCAGGTTAGAGAAGAATGAGAAGATTCTAAAATATAAATATATTTAAGACAAGCTCTGAACAGATGTCAAAGAGTATATTAAGACTTATAATATCTATCAAAGAATAAAGATTCTGCAGTATAAGTAATACAGTGAGTTGATATCACTGTCTGTTTCAAAGAGTTTATAACAGAATCTATCAATAAATTTCATAGTTGATCTGTCAAAGTTAATAAGAGTCAAAGAATATGACTCAATTTTGATTATTATCAACTGTTTTACAAAGATGATAAAACATATCTCTACTTATAAAAAGGTTAAAGCCTCTGAATTACCTGATCTATTTTTAGATATTATTATTTATAATCACAGTACTCTGAAGTTATTAATAACAGATTAAGAATTTCTCTTTATCAGTAAATACTGATCAGTCTTTTAGTATTATCTTATAATAAGATGTCTTCTCAGTATCACATTTCATTCACAGATAGATGATCAGACTGAATATCAGAATCAGATATTAGAACAGCATCTTCAAGCATTCTGTTCATATTATTAAAATGATTGACTGAAACATCTTCTAATCACTGAATTTATATATAATAATGTAAAGAATGTAATCTTAAAAGTATCTTCTTTCTATACTTATTATGAATATAATTCTTCATTACTCAGTGACATCACAGATAATATTTTAAAGAAGAAGATAGACAGTCAGAATGTTAAATAGATACAGAGAACAAAGTATTTTTCAGTGTCAGAATTAAAAGTGAGATTGAAACTTTTGAATAAAATTTATAAAAAGACAGTGAAAAGTATCTGCTGCACTCAGAAGTAATAGATAGAATACTATAATTAAAAACATTTTTCAATGAAGTTCTTGATAGAGAATTAAGTGCTACTTTCAGCAAAGAATATCAAGATAATGAGACTGTATAAGAAGCTCAGTGAGTTATAACTAGAATCTTTCCTGATAACAAGAGTGATGAGTAAGCAGACATATAAGTTGAAATTACTCTCAGAATTGAAATTAATTCATTCTGTTTTTCACATTTTCTATTTGAAGTTCTATAAGTAATATTCTGAAGCAGAGCTGTCTCAGCTGAATAATATTAAGATTGAGAATAATACTGAATATCTTATGAAGAAAATATTGAATAAGTGAATATATTATAATACACTTCAATATCTCATTAAATGAGAAGATTATTCATTGTCAGAGAATTTGTGAGAACTGCTTGAGTATTTGAAAAATACTGAGAAAGAGATTACAAGCTATGAGACAGCTAGTAGAGATTACTCTATTACATGTCAGAAATATTGAGTAAGAAATACTACTTAAGACTTCTTATTTTTCTCAAAGACTTTTTTAGAGATAATCTCACAGTGATGAGTCAGTATCTTGTGAACTCTGTAGCACTCTTCTTCTATTTTCTCTTAAAGAATTTTTAAAAGTTTAATAAGACTATATAAGTGTAAAATTTCTGAAGCAGTTAGAGAAAAGAGATATTTAAAATTAATAAAAAGATTAATATTATTGATCTGTAAGCTGCTGCTATTCTAATGAGGTCACAGCCTGCTGAAAAAGTAAAAAGAGAGATCAGACTCTACTCATTAATAATCACATTCTTATTAAACTCATTCTTCACTGTTGAAGTCTTCAGCACTGATATCTTTATCTGCTAAGAAGTTAGCACTGCAGTGCTGTAAAGAAGTATGCTGTACAAGAGTATAGAAGATACTTAAAGTATTAACTTATTAATTTACAAAGCATCTCAGTCATCTATTTTAATTAAAGTGAGATTCTCTTCAATCAGTGATTAATCTCTAAGACACTTTTAACAGTGATATCAGCTAATCTCTTCCTGAAGTCAGTCATTCTGAGGTGTTTTTTCATCTCAGAGACTCATGCTTTCATCTTCTTTTACAGATAAGTAAGAAGAATCTTCTCAGTCTTGATAGAATCTATCAATACTTGAAGCTCTGAGACTCTCACTCTTTACTGCTTGAGCATCTGAGCTTCTTATCAGAGCTGATATGACATCTTTCTGTGAGATAATACTTACAGAGAGACAGAAGTCATTGTTGCAGATATAACAGAAATAATAGAAGTAAGAGAAGAGATAAGTGTATAAGATTCTTCTCTTCTGCAGCTGCTTAGCACAGTGCAGACATGTGACAGTGTCAGTCAGAGACTGCATCAGAGCCTTTCTACAGAAATAAGACAAAAGAACTGCAGAATTCTGCAGACTCAACTCAGCAGTATTCTGAGCAGAGCTCAGACATGTCACAGAAGAGGAACTACAAATTGAGCTTTTCAGAGCTGCTATCTTCAGAATCAAGCTCTCTCTGAGATTCTCTCTGAATGATCACACAGGGTCATATATCACTGTGTTGACTGAGAGGGGGAATGACATTATGATGATGATAAGAAGAGCAGAGAAAGAACTGAATGCAGATGAACTAATCAGCAGAAGAGATGATACCTCACTGCAAGGCATGGCTGCTACTGCCGCGGCTGTAAGAGATGCAGAAGAAGAAGAAGATGTGACAATGAAAGCAGTGCTCTCACAGCTCATTGATGCTGCTGTCTCTGCCTTTAACTGAGCTTTCTTAACAGTTATGAAGATCACAGCTGCATCATGAAGACATTTATTACTCACTAGAAAATGTCAGAATAAGTCTCTTATTATCTCTCAAGAATGATGCTTCCATGCACTCACTATTACAGATGAGAGAGAGAGAAGAAAAATGTTTCACAGAGAGAGAGATCTTTTCAAAAAATCCTGTCACTACTGTCAACTTTGTCTCTAAAATATATCACTTTTACAGAGAATTTTATATATAGAACAGAATATGATAGAAGATCTATAAGTCACTTATTAACTATATTTTTCACATTTCAAATTGATATATAAGAAACTCACTTATTATGTGATTATTTTGAACAGAGATGAGAAAAGAAGATCTACACAGTCAGCAGAAAAACTCATCTATTTCTTTATATTATGTAGAGTATATACACTGTCAATCAGTTGATAATTATTACTATACAACAAAGATAACTTCTAATTCAGTAATCTTAAGAGCATCAGAAATACGCTCTTAAAGAGAAGAACATTATCATGCTTTCAGTAATGTCAAGACTCTATTACAGTTTCACACAGCTCATCATATTCATGCAGATGATTTCATTCTGTCTGAACCAGTTTTCAACCACTCTATAACATCATTTGAATATATTATAGAAAGATTCAAATAATGAATATGAGAATCTCACTTCTATAAAAGATCAGCAGATTACTCTTTCTTGACAGTGAGATACTGCTAAGGTATCACTTCAGCTATTCTCACTCATGAAATGAGAGAAGAGTATTCATTCATCATCTATATAGAATACCTAGATGCTGGCTTCTTATTAAAGAAGTCAGTGATTTGTTTTTTCTTCTACTGAAATATATACAAGAGTTACTGCATTTCTCATACAATCTTCTTAGTATACTAAGTATCATATCTGTGATATCCTCATAATAACCCTGTAGCCTATGAGCGCACTATTTAAGCAAGATAGTTAAGCTCACTTATACAGCTTCTCAAAGAACTATCTCTATATGATACTGCTGACTAGTGACCGCTTCGGTTCCGTCACGTTATACTTGATATATTGTATACTTAAATTCTTATTATATTTAGTAGTCTCAGATGATATATATGCTTCTGAAGACATTGTGAACAATTATCTCAGTAACTGAGTGATTAATACAGTCACTAAGTAGTGTCTTGACGTGGGAAACCAAGGCACGCGGGTTTATTATTATTATTATTATTATTCTTCAATTATAGATGTATGCAGTCATAGACTATGACATCTACCTGAGAACCTTTAGATCTCAGAGTTTTTCCTATATCTATAGAGTCAACTATTATACATTTATCAATTTCAGATATGCAAAATCAGAAAATTTCATCTCAGAATACAAAAACTATTTACAAATTGCAGTATTTCAACACCTTCTGATACTTTAAAATCATTTGAAAATATCATGACAAAGAAAAAGAGAACATAGTCTTAAAGATAGACACATTAAATAAGTAGATAGAAAAGAACAAAAAGAAATAAGTACAGTAAAGAGAGACTATAACAAAATAAAATTATTAAAAGATAGTGTATAGCTGTTTTAACAGACTATATCTAATCAATTTCCGCCTCTTCATATTCAGATACTTCTGAATTCAGTCATTTTCTTATAGCTGCTTGAGTTTCTGATAGAAAGTCTATTAAGTATTTAATTTCTGTCTCAGTTGAGAATAAGAACCTCATATTTAATTGATTTAAATCATACTTCTTCTTTAATCTGACTCTGAGACTATTGTATAACACACAATGTATTATCATATACTCAGGATTTACATCCACACTGCAGAATAAGCACTCTGTTGAATCAAATCTATCATCAAATCTTTGTATATGAGATTTGAAATAACCATGTCCTAGTTTCAGCTGAATTATAGATGAGAATATTTTCTTTTTACATTTAATTGAACAAGATTTTCACTTTGGTTTTATCTCAAATCTTGAATAATGTATACTCTTCTTTTGTTTCTGCCAGCTTTTATTTCACTTGTTTAAACAAGATTCTTTTATCTTTCTCTTTATAAAAGACCAGGACACAGTTTTTTGAATAGATCTGCTTAATTCTGAATCTGTTTTTGCAGCTGAATCAGTCAATTTATTACTATGAATATTCATATGAGCAGGAACTCAATGCAGATGAATTATCAGTTTTGATATTCTTCTCTTTTGAATTTTCAAAATAGAGTTTAAAATCAGTTTAAGATTCATTTGATCATTATAAATCTGACTATTTCTAAGTCTTTTCAAAGCAGCTTGACTATCAGAGAATATTCATATCTCTTTCAAACTATTTTCTCTTTTATAAGATTTTATTTCAATGAGTTTGAAAGCTTTTCTACTACAAATAGTTCAGCATCAAAGACTTCAGATTCACAGTCTAAATTTCAGAAATCTGAGATAAAATTGATATTATCTTCAGTATAGGCAATGTCTGTATCTAATCTATTCAAATTCTCATTTTTTGAGTCATCTGAAAAGATCAGAATTGAGTCTTTTATATTAATTGTAGAAATTTTCTTCAAATGTTGTTCATATTCTCTCTCTTTAGATAATTTACTAATTTGCAAGTCTATGAGAGATTCAAGCTTTTCTCTTTAGAAAGATATCTTCTCATAATCAACTTTTTCAATATTTAAAGAAGAAAATTGATTTTTAATCAGTGAACATAATCTGTATGATTGAGAGAACATTTTCTTTGAAGAATTATTTTCATTTCAATTATAAAATCTATTTCAATCCAGTTCATTTCCAGAGATAAATAATGAAAATGAAGAAGAGACTTCTTCTCTGAGTATATGATTTGAGCTTGTCTTTATAACTCTTAGAGCATAATTTATGCAGGTCTTTTGAAATCTAATAGTAGAAGAAAGAATTGAAGCTTCAATTTTCATTACTTTAATACAAGATGTTTTAATTGTCTTCAGAATTCTTCTCAAAGCTCTGTTTTACAGACTTTGAAAGAGTCCAGTGAAATTATCTTGATTATTTCATCAAACTTGAACTTCATAATCAGCTACTGAGATAATACAGACTATATTTAACTGTTTCATAGTCTGGAAGAATAGATCTCTTTCTGTATTTGATAGTTTGATTATGCTATTTATTAGTCTTTCTGTCTTGATAGTTCTTCATTGAATATAATATTTAAAATTCAACTTGAAGTTTAATCATACTTCTAATCATTTAATATTCAAACTGGGTTTAATCTCTTTATTTCAAAGAGTTAGATATAGTTTTTTCTCATTGAATTCAGATAAGAAATGAATTAACTCAGTTTTATTCATATTAAATTGAATTTAATTGATATCTACTCTAACAAAGATTTTTTTTACTGCTTTTTCAATCACTTCTAAATTCTCTTTGATTTTTTTTGAGCTGTAAACTAGATCAATATTATTTATATACCTTGAAGATCACAACATTTTCATATCTCTATTCTTGAATAGATATGCAGTGTATATTACAAATAAAATGAGTGAGATTGAAGATTCTTACAGTACTTCTATTTGTATCTCAGTCTTATCTTATTTCATTTCATCAAAGAATAGTTATATAATTCTTTTAGATATAAAACTGTTAACTCATTTTATTAGAGAAATCAATAGTTTTAACATCTTCAAAGTCTGAATTAACTTTGACTTTGAAACATCATTAAATACTTCTTTTATATCAATAAAAACTGCAGTTGAGACCAGATCTTCATACTTTGCTATTTGAGTATCACAAATAACTGAGAGAACAGTGTCAATTGCAGAGTATTGTTTTCTATCTTCTATTTATTCACTGAACAGAAGAGAATTATTAATAGAGATTATAAAAGATAGTTAAGTAGCTATTATCTTTTCTAAAACCTTTTCTAGATAGTTCAATAGATATATTACTTTATATAACTTAGTAATTGAAGTTTTTCTATTAGATTTTGCAAGAATCACTTCAGTGACTTCTCTTCAGCATTCAGAATAATATTTATTTTTCAAGAGATTGAAAAAGAGCTTAAAATATTCATTCTTTAAGTAGAAGTATGTATTGTGAATGATCAAGTGATTGATTGAATCAGGCCCTGCAGCAGTTTTAACTGAACTTGAGAAGATAGCTGACTCTAATTCATCTTGTATAAGCTCAGATCATTCTCCGTCATTTTCATTAATATAGTTGTGAAGTGATATATTCTCTTTCTCTGAATCTGAATCTGATGAGTTTTGAAAGAGAATTCTTATAAAAGCTTGACATTTTTTCTCAAAAGAATTTGCTGTATATGATTCATTCTGAAACTTATATTCTAAGGCTGGAAATTTTGCAACACTTCTTGTTTTAGTATAGTTAAAAGCTTTAAAAACTTTCTTTTCTTATGCTTTCTCAGGAAATTTATACCTGCAGTATATTTTAGCTCTTTTAATATCTGACAAATATTCATTTCTGACAGCTTTGAACTCTTTATCAGATATTATATCATTCTTTCAATCTCTTCTAACAGTAGCTAATTATTTCCTTTTAGATGTGATATTTAGACCTGCCGCCGGGACTATGAATTTGGCATTTGATCTCATTTGATCTGCTCTCATACATTTCTTGATGTTAGACTGACCGTGTGACCGTGTCTAAAACCAGGACCAGAATTTTTGATAGTTTCATTACTAAATCGACTGATCCCATTACACAGTTTTAACATTAGATAGTACTCTGCTTTTCAGAGTTTAACAGTTTTATGCTTTCTTCAACTGCTTTTCAACCACCTTTTTCAAAGTTAAACTGATTAGAGAGAAGAGGGTTTTCACTCATTTATTTTTCACTCAGTTCAATATCGAATTGAACAATCTCATGACCTGATCCCGATGTCTCATTTGAATTAATAAATCAGTTTACAAGTCTTTTTTCAATTAGATTTCATGACATGAAGATTAGATCTATAATAGATTTCTGTTTCATGTCTTTTCTGAAGAATGTTTGTTGATCAGACTTGTTAACTAGATCT